AAGCTTTCGTGAACTACAGCCCACTTAGTCCACGAAAGCTTATGCTCTAATAAATTTGTTAGTCTCTAAGGTGCCACTAGTCCTGAAGTTGTAACTTTCCCTAGAGCTGGACACAGGAGATGCAATTCTTCCTCACTTCCTGTCCTACACAGCCTACATATTTCCCTGTCCTGTTTCTCAGCTGCCCTGTCCGACCACAGAACTGGCTGCAGGTCAGTGGGGGAATCTTCTTCTTTTGTGTACGTCACAAGTCGATATCTATGTAACCCTTCTGCCGGTGGCATCAGAAGGGACCAGGGCCAGATTCAATATCTAGGTGTTCCTTTCCAGCAATATAACACAGATCCAGCTTGAACACCCACCCAGTAACATCGGACAATTACACACCACCCTCAGGGTGCTGCTCTGAGGGAAAAGTTCCACTCTTGCAACCACAGATTCTCAGTGAAGAAAAGAAACTTTTTAATAATGAGAAAAACGAGGAGCTCTTGTGCACCATAGAGACTAAGAAATTTATTTGGGCATAAGCTTTCATGGGCTAACACGGGGGTTAGTGATAACGAGGCCAATTCAATCCAGGTGGAAGTGGCCAGTTACCAACAGTTGACAAGAAGTGGTGAATATCAACAGAGGTAGAATTAGTTTTTGTAGTGCTAATGAGACCAATTCAATCAGGATGGATGTCGCCTATTCCCAGCAATGTCCCTCTGCCATGTACATTGGCCAAACTCTACAGTCTCTACGCAAAAGAATAAACGGACACAAATTATACATCTATACCTGTAACATTCAAAGACCAGTAGGAGAGCACTTCAATCTCCCTAGACACTCAATAACAGACTTAAATGTGGCCATTCTTCAACAAAAAAACTTCAACAACACTTCAATGAGAAACTACAGAACTGGAATTAATTTTCAAACTGGACACCAACAAATTAGGCCTGAATAAAAACTGTGAGTGGCTGGGTCACTACAAAAAGTAATTTTCTCTCTGTTGATACTCACACCTTCTTCTCAACTCTTGGGAATTGGCCACTCCCACCTTGATTGAATTGGCCTCGTTAGCACTGACCCACCATATGGTCAGGCAACTCCTATTTTTTCATGTGCTGTAATATATATACTGCCTAATGTATTTTTCACTCCACGCCTCTTGATGCTGCTGCTTCTTGGCGACATTTCAGTGGTGACACTCCTTGGTGTTGCCACTTCTCAGCGGCATTTCGGCAGCTGCTTGTCCAGCGGCCATGCTCCACCGCGGCGTTTCGGCCGCGACTCGTCTGGTGCCTGCCACACTGAAAGGTTGGGGACCACTGACTTAAACCAAAAAGACAGCCAATGGAGCATTCATTAACTCTTTGTCCCGAGGGCCACATCTGGGTGGCTCAGGTCAGGGGGTTGGCGTGTAGGAGGGGGTGCAGAGTGCGGGAGGTGGCTTAGAGTAGGAAGATGGGGTGCAGGAGGGGTGCGGGGTGTGGGATGGGGCTCAGGGAAGGGGGTTCGATGCAAGTGGGCTGTGGGGTTTGGCAGGGGGCTGAGGGCAGGGGTTGGGGTGCAGGAGGGCTGCAGGGTGCAGCAGGGGGCTCAGGGAAGGGGGTTGTACTGCAGGAGGCATGCTAGGTGCGGCAGGGTGTTGGGGTGCAGGCAGAGTGAGGTGGGGGTTCAGGGTGCGGGCTCCAGCTGGCGGCTGTTTACCTGGAGTGGTTCTGGGATGTCAGTGGCTCACACAAGGGCAGGCTCCCTGCTTGCCCTGGTTCCGTGCCGCATCGCGCTGCTCCCGGAAGTGGCCGGCACCACGTCCCTGCGGCCCCTGGGGGAGGGCAGAGGGCTCCACGCGCTGCTCTTGCCTGCGCGTACCTCCCCTGACTCTCCCATTGGCCGCGATTCCCCATTCCTGGGCAATGGGAGTTTTGGGGGGCAGTTCTTACAGGCGAGGGGAGCACACAGAGCCCTCTGTCCCCCGACTCACCCCCAGGGGTCACAGGGAGGTGGTCCAGCCGGTTCCGGGAGTGGTGCGGGGCCAGTGGCGCCACGGGGGTAGCAATCCTATGGACCGGATCCAAAGCCCTGACAGGCCGGATCTGGCCCTCAGGCCATAGTTTCCCTACCCCTGCATTCAAATACTACAATTAATTGTAACACAGAACCAGCCAACATAGCTCTGTGTGCTGGATACCGAGCAGAGTTGGTGTGTTCATTTAAATACAGTCTGGTCCTGAAGCCTTTTCCTGTCCTCATCTTATGACTATCTGTCAGGGGAGAGCTCATTCCGGCCTTGCTTACCTCTAGCTAGTTCAGCCATCTAACTGTGCATCCTCAAGGTCCAGTCTTCTAACGGGGCTCTCCTCCACCACGTGGGACTGTCTGTATTGCTGCCCCACAGGCACACTGAGAAGATCAGGCTAAGCCACATTTCTGCATTGCAGCAATTCCTGTGGTCAGTACAGTGAGGGGCACATTAAGCCTATCCCAGGTTCTGCATCCCAGGTTGTAAATGGGCAGATACAAGTTAGGGCTTCTGAAAATCCATCAGCACACCAGTCTCCATCTCAGAGTTGCTGCCCCTCTGTGAGGACACAGCTGTCATCCCAGCTCTGCCATCATTCATCTGAGACTGGTACTGGGCTGGCAGCACTAGACACGAGTGCAGCAATGGCTGCCACAAAACGATGTTGCCAAGTCAGTTGTGGCAAGTCAGCAGGAACCGCAGGGGCAGGTGTTTGCTTCAGGAGGGGGATGATCTGCTTGTAGGAAGTGTGCGTTGCCTCTGCCCTGCGCGGAACCATTGTCAGCCTGGTGCGCAGCAGGTTCTTGCGAGCCGTCCCTGTGCTCCAGGGAGTTGTCAGGGGGATGGACTCTGGTTGACGTTTTCAGGGAGCGATGGAGCCAACACATGTAAATTGGATGCTGATGTCAGGCTAAGGCAACCACTAATGACACGGGTGACTGTGTTCAGTTCCCAGTTACCAAGATGCTAATGTCAGCATCTGCCCCAAAGCACTGCACAGTATCACACTGGAGCGAATACCAGCACTAGGAGTGAGGGTGTAAATCTGATCCCCAGGAGGTTCTTGCCAGCAGTGTGGGGGGTGATCTTTTTAAGTGCTCTAATGGGAGCAGTAGGTCAGACTGCCGTCCAGTGTGCCTAATTAGGTGACAGCCTAACTAGGTGAGAGCTGGCTGGGAGGGGAGCGGACGAATTTCAACATTGGCCACGTGATTAGTCTGGTCAGTGGTGAGGACCTCTTGACCGGCAGTTGCTTTGTGCAGAGACCAGTCGGATGCATCGGCAGGAGGCGCTACATTCCCCAGCGACACGAGAGATTAGTTGCACAGGAAACTCCCTGAGTGTTTATTCCCTTGGGTGTTCGCAGACGCTGGCATCTCAGAAGTGGCTCAGCTCCGACTGGCGAACAGCAGGAGTCACTGCGCTGGGAGGGTCGAGGTGCTTCACAACCAGAAGTGGGGAACCGTGTGCGATGATAGCTGGGACCTACAGGATGCTGGAGTCGTGTGCAGGCAACTGGGCTGTGGGACGGTGTTATCAATCCCAGGAGGTGCTCGATTTGGGCGAGGATCAGACCATATCTGGCTGGATGATGTCAACTGCACAGGGACAGAAGCTGCCCTCTCTGATTGCCGGGCGCAGTCTTGGGGAGTGAATAACTGTACCCATGGAGAAGCTGCCGGTGTTGTGTGCTCAGGTAACTTGCATCCATCACGTCACTGTGGGTGGTGCAGGGATCGGGCTGGGAAGCTTTCAGCACAGACCCAGCTCTCCTGTCTGAATCAGTGCTGACCCCAGTGCCTCAGCATGGTGCTAAGGGCCTGTACTGAAGGGAGAAGGTTCGAGGTCACAGTAAGTGTTGTTCTTCCCATGGTGTCAGTGTTGACTCCATTTTTCCCACACAGTTCTACATGCCTGTACTGCAGGAAGCAAGATGGGGGTTCAGCAGGGGTCACTCTCCCCTCGCAGTCAGTGCTGGCCCCAGTGCCCCAGGACACCAATTAGGGCCTGCGCTTCAGGGAGCAGTACGTGTGCCTCCGTGAGTGACTCTCCCTGTCGCTGATCACTCTGATCCCCCTGTACCGCTTCAGCAGAATGGGACGCTGGGTAACCATAGATCCCATTTGTGGGATTTGGGGTTGAATGGATCTTGCAGCCAATCAGGGATCCCTTTATGAAGTGTGGGATTCCTACCCCTGTCATCTGGGTGATTTACATCTCAGCTAAGTAACCCTGAACCTGGAATATCCCCCACTGCTGTGACTGGACACAGGGTTCTTCCTCATAGCTTATGAGTTTCTGTGCCTTGTCTCTCATCTACCCTGTTCCACCCCACAGGTGACTGCATGGTAGTAGAGGGGAGTAGGGCTGTCAAGTTATTAAAAAAATTAATCATGATTAATTGCACATTTAATCACGTCTTTACACAATAACAGAATACCATTTATTTCAATTTTTGGGATGTTTTCTACGTTTTCAAATATATTTATTTCAATTACAATACAGAATACAAACTGTACAGTGCTCACTTTATATTTATTTTTTATTACAAATATTTGCACAGTAAGAAAGGAACAAAAGAAATAGTATTTTCAATTAATCTCATACAAGTACTGTAGTGCAATCTCTTTATCAGGACAGTTGAACTTACAAATGTTGAATGGTTTACAAATAATAACTGCAATAAAAAAGAAAACAATGTAAAATATTAGATCCTACAAGTCCAATCAGTCCTACATCTCTTTCAGCCAGTCACTCAGACAGACAAGTTTGTTTACCTTTGCAGGAGATAATGCTGCTTGCTTCTTGATTACAATGTTACCTGAAAGTGAGAACAGGCATTCACATGGCACTGTTGTAGCTGGTGAAAAAAGAATCTTTATGTGCCAGATGTGGTAAAAATTCATATGTCCCTTCATGCTTGGACTACCATTCCAGAGGACATGTGTCCATGCTGATGATGGGTTCTGCCCGATAACGATCCAAAGTAGTGCAGACCAACAAATGTTCATTTTCATCATCTGAGTCAGATGCCACCAGCAGAAGGTTGATTTTCTTTTTTGGTGGTTCAGGTTCTGTAGTTTCCACATTGGAATGTTGCTCTTTTAAGACTTCTGAACGCATGCTCCACACCTCATCACTCTTAGATTTTGAAAGGTGCTTCAGATTCTTAAACCTTGGGTCGAGTGCTGTAGCTAGCTTTAGAAATCTCTCATTGGTACTATGATGTTCCCCACTGGTGTTAGCTGGACCGGTGATCTGCTAGGTCACTCCAATCCTTAACTCTGGAAGGTAGCCTTACCTTGCTCTGCTGTGAGAACCCCCACTCCTGGGCTGTTCACACACAGCCTCTGACATGTAAGCTTGTCTTTGGATTGTGTAACCCAATGACACTAGCCAATATCATCGGTCCCAGACAAAACCCTAGGAACCTCCATCTTACAGTGTCCAGTTATACCTGCTGGATGCTGCAAGCTTATATGAGTTCATCAATTTAATAAAGAAATTTATATGTACCAGGCTTGTTTTCCCAAGGGGAGTCTCTGACATGCTTCAAACCAAACACACTGCTTCAGGTAGAACAAACAAACCGATTTATTAACTATAAAGATAGATTTTAAGTGATTATAAGTCAAAGCATAACAAGTCGGATTTGGTCAAGTGAAATAAAAGAAAAACCCATTCTAAGCTGATCTTAACACTTTCAGTGCCCTTACAAACTAAGATGCTTCTTAACACCGGCTAGCTGGTTACTCTTCAGCCAGGATCTCCCGTTTGATCAGTGCTTCAGTCGCTTGGTGTGTTGTCTGTAGTTGTAAATGGAAGAGAGAGGAAGAGTATGGCAAACATTTCTCCCTTTTATCAGAGTCAGGTGAGCATTACCTCATCGCAATCCCAAACTGACCAAAGGAAGGGGGGTGACTCACTCGAGAGTGCAACAGATCCTTTTGTTGCTGCCTAGGCCGGTACCCTTTGTTTCTGTGAGGCTTGGCTGGGTTTGTCCCATACATGCCTCGATGAGGTGTGAACTGCCCCTCTGCTCTTATAGAGTTTTTGCCTTGGATGTTTTAAGCCATGAGTATACATTTTCAGCCTCATAACTATATGCATGAAATTATAACCTATAACATTACTATAACATTACTGCAAGAGAAATTACTATAACATCACTATAACAACATGCGTCATGAGCCTTCCGAAGACACCCAATCTGACAAACTTTGCATTGGATACCACACAAGCATTTTATAAGGATGAACATGGGGGTGCTGGGTGATTCCCGGAGGTACAGAGAGTCACAGGTACCTTCTTTGTGTTTTGTCAAATCTGTAGTGAAAGTGTTCTTCAAATGCACAACATGTACTGTCATCATCTGAGACTACTGTAACATGGAAGATATGGCAGAATGCAGGTAAAATACATAGCAGGAGACACACTATTCTCCCCCAAGGATTTCAGTCACAAATTAAATTAACACATTGCTTTTAACGAGCATCATCAGCATGGTAGTATGTCGTCTGGAATGGTGGCCGAAGCATGAAGGAGCATGTGAATGTTTCGCATATCTGACACATAAATACCTTGCAATGCAACCTACAAAAGTGCCATGCGAATGCCTCTTCTCACTTTCGGGTGACACTGCAAATAAGAAGCAGGCAGCATTATCTCCCATAAATGTAAAAAAACTTGTTTATCTGATCGATTGGCTGAACAAGAAGTAAGACTGAGAGGATGTGTAGTCTCTAAGTTTTCCTTTTTTTTCCCCCTGAGTGCAGTTATGTAACAAAAAAAAAATCTACATTTTTAAGTTGCACTTTCACAATAAAGAGATTGCACCACAGTACTTGTATGAGGTGAATTGCAAAATACTATTTCTTTTACCCTTTTTACAGTGCAAATATTTCTAATCCAAAATACAGTAAAAGCTGTTTTTTCCAGCACTTCACCAACCAGAAAGCTCTATAAATTGGCATTTCTGATCTTCATGGAAATGCTGGTTTATAGTCCGGTTGTTGCGGGGCTGGCAGGGTGTTGGGGTGCAGGAGGGGGTGTGGAGCACGACTCTGGGAGGGACTTTGGGTGTGGGAGGGGGCTTATTATGCGGGAAGGGTGCAGGGTGTAAGATCGGGGGCTGCTCACTTCGCATGGCTCCCCAGAAGTGGCGAATTGTCCCAGGATTGGCTACTCCTAACCGGAGGCGCATCAGGCAGCTCGGCTTTCTGCCCTCCCACAGACTGGTTGCACAGCTCCTATTGGCTGGCAACCACAGCCAATAGGAGCTACGGGGGAGGCGCCTGCGGGTGGAGGGAGTGTGCCAAGCCACCTGCTGCGCCTCCACCTAGGAGCAGTCGGGACAAGTTGCCACTTGCTGGGAGCCGCCTGAAGTGAGTAGCCCCTGGATCTGGCACCCCGCACCCCATTCCGCACCCCAGCTGCCTGCCCCGAGCCCCCCATACCCAAACTTCCTCCCAGAGTCTGTGCTCCACATTCCCTCCCGCACCCCAACCCCAGCCACGCATGCACTCCGACACCCAAACTTCCTCCCTCTTAGGTACCTGGCAGTTTTCATTTACCGGCACCCCCCATTCCTCCAACATGCAGGATAAATAACTTTAACTGTAATAATATAAAGTGAGAACTGTACACACTGTATTCTGTGTTGTAACTGAAATCAAAATATTTGAAACCATAGAAAAACGTTAAATATTTAATAAATTTTAATTGGTATTCTATTGTTTAACAGTTCCATTAAAATTGTGATTAAGCCTGATTAATTTTTTTAATCATGGTTAATTTTTTGAGTTAATCACATGAGTTAACTGTGATTAATTGACAGGGAGTGAACCCCTAACAGGCTTTGCAGAGGCTGTACAGAGTTGTCCCCCAGCATCACTAGTGATCAGATGAACAGGAACGTACCTGAGTGTTTATTCCCTTGGGGTGTTTGCAGACTCTGGCATCTCAGAAGTGGCTCAGCTCCGACTGGTGAACGGCCCGAGTCACTGTGCTGGGAGGGTCGAGGTGCTTCACAACCAGCAGTGGGGAACCGTGTGTGATGACGGCTGGGACATAACCGATGCTGGAGTCGTATGCAGGCAGCTGGGCTGTGGGACGGCGTTATCAGCCCCAGGAGGGGCTCGCTTTGGGCGAGGATCTGACCATATCTGGCTGGATGACATCAACTGCACAGGAACAGAAGCTGCCCTCTCCGATTGCAGAGCTCGGCCTTGGGGAGATAATAACTGTACCCACGGAGAAGTTGCTGGTGTTGTGTGCTCAGGTAACTCTCACCCTTCATTGCACAGATGATGCTGCAGAGAGCCTGTTGGTAAACTCAATAGAGTATGCTTTTCTGTCTGAATTAGTGCTGACCCCAGTGCCCCACCACTGTGCTATGGGCCTCTACTGCAGAGAGGGGTATGTGAGCTGTGTGGAGAGGCCTTCATCTCTGTTTGATTGTTCTAGTTTGTGGAAAATTTATAAGGGAAGCAAAGGTACACAATAAGAAATCTATGGCCAGCAGAGTGAATGGCAACAAGAAGGAGTTTTTAATATCTATTAAGAAACAAAAGAATCCTGACAATGATAACGGTCCATGATTAGTTGGAAATGGTAAAAATATCAATAACAATGGAGAAAGAACAGATGTGTTCAATAAATATTTCTGTTCTGTATTTGGGAAAAACAGATCATATAGTCTCACCATATGGTGATGATAACACTCTGTCCATTCCACTAATATATCAGGAGGATGTTAAACAGAAGCTCCGTAAGTTAGATAGTTTAAAATCAGCAGGTCCAGGTAATTTGCATCCAAGGGTTTTAAAACAGCCGAGTAAGGAGCATGCTGGACCGTTAATGTTGATTTTCAATACGTCTTGGAGTGCTAGGAAAGCTCCAGCAGCCTGGAAGAAAGCTAATGTTGTGTCAATTTATAAAAAGTGTAAAAGGGATAACTCGGCTAATTACAGGCCTTTTAGGCTGACATCAATCCCAGGCAAGGCAATGGGGTGGCTGATATGGGAGTTGATCAATAAAGAATTAAAGGAGGGTAATGTCATTAATGCAAATGAACATGGTCTTGTCAAACTAACTAGATATCTTTTTTTGATGATATTACCAGTTTGGCTGAGAAAAGTAATAGTGTTGATGAAATATACTTAGAGTTCTGTAAGATACTGCACAACATTTTGATTAAAAAGCTAGAACAGTATAAAATTAGCATTGCAGGGAGTGGTTCTTGGGTCTATGGTATTTAACATTTTTATCAATGACTTGGGAAAAATATAAAATCATAGGTGTTAAACTTTGCAGATGATACAAAAATTGGGGGAGGACGACAGGTCACTGATTCAGAGTGATCTGGATAGCTTGGTAAGCTAGGTGCAAGCAAACAATATGCATTTTAACATGGCTAAATGTAAATACCTACATGTAGCAACAACGAATGCTGATCGTGTTTACATGGTGGGGGATTATATCCTGAGAAGCAGTGACTCAGAAACAGATTTCCAGGTTGAGGTGGACAATCAGTTGGGCATGAGCTCCCACTGAGACTCTGTGATCAAAAGGACTAATGCAAACCTAGGATACATAAAGAGAGGAATCATTAGCAGGAGTAGAAAGGATATTTTACCTGTATATTTGGCACTGCTGTGGCCATTGCAGGAATACAGTATTCAGTTCTGGTGCCCATAATCCAGGAAGGATGTTGATAAATTGGAGAGGGTCATAGAAGAGCCACAAGAATGATTAAAGGATAAGAAAACCTGCCTTACAGTGATAGGCTCAAGGAGCTGAATATATTAACAAAGAGAAGGGTAAGAGGTGACTTGATCACAGTCTACAAGAATCTACCTGGGGAATAAATATGTAATGGGGTTTTCAATCTAGCAGAGAAAGGTAGAACAGGATCCAATGGCTGGAAGTTGAAGGTAGACAAATTCAGAGTGGAAATGAGGCATACATTTAGAATGGCGAGGGTAATTAACCACGGGCACAATTTACCACAGGTTTTGATGGAGTCTCCACCGCTGACAATTGTTGAGTCAAGAATGGATGTTTCTGTAAAAGCTCTGCTCTAGGAATTATTCTGGGAGAAGTTCTCTGCCCTTTACTGGAGATCAGACTAGATGATCACAAAGGTCCGTTCTAGCCTTGGAGTCGATGAATCCCACTGTGTAATCAAGCACTGACTGTGTATAGCGTATAGCAAAGAAAATATCTAATAAAAAGGCAAAAGGAACCTGCATTAATTTGGAAAAAACTACAACCACCATTCGAAAGCATATGACAATGAGCAAATACCCACCCCAGAGTATGTTGGGCAAGTGTCCTTTGCCTCATTCAGATCATGCTCACATATAGTACATAAATACTGTTATATTTATCAACAGAACCTGTAATCCTGCTTCTTCCCAAAGGCAAAACAGAAATGTTGATCTCCCGTGTCTGCCTTTTCTGCATCCTTATTGACAATTTTACCGTCCCTGCCATGCATAGGATCTACGCCATTCCTAGGATTTCTGTTTGTTCCTGATACATTACAAATACTACTTTTTACTGTAGTTACTCCTTTTTGATCTGAGCAGTTAACTAATTTTCAGGGCCAAGTGGGTTGTTTCTGATAGAAGGAGAGATTGAAGATGCTGTAACTAAGTGGGCGAATGTGATCCTGTGATGTATAAGTAGGGGAATATCAAGTAAGAGGAGGGAGACAGTTATTAACATTGCTGGATTTCTGCAACGCAGTCCTGGTTATTTACAAAGCATGTACAAAATCCTGTCTCGCTGAACACAGCAGAAATCAAACAAAAGGAGAGAGTTTCGTTGCTCACAGTGCAAAGTCTCTTTCAGCTCACCCCGACCCCAAAGCTCTTCGCGTGTTTCAGAAGGTCACATGATCAGCGATTCTCTGGCTGTGTCTGGGCTTCTTTGCTCCTTCTCTGCATCATTCTCTGTAACTTAAGACTAAGATAAAGATTCAGCATCAGCCCCATCGGTTGGTATTGGTGCTGTCTGCACTGATCACTAGAGCTTTCCCCTCCCCTCTGCCTGTTAAATGAAAATTTAAAACAATAACTCCTAGGAACCCAGGTACTCTGCCATCCACACAGGTTTCCTTGTCACTCTGCCTGCTCGAGTCCTATATTCACTCATGGAGACATCAGTCATAGTTGGACCTACATTATCAGTGAGTTCAGGGTTCATGCCCTCTCGGTGAGGCCTATCTGTTGTGGACAGGCTGTCTGTAGAAGATGGCAGTGTGCTCAGGTAGGTTGCATGCTCTTGCTTTTGGTATCAGCAAGGATAATTTCTTCTTCGAGTGCTTGTTCATGTCCATTCCAATCAGGTGTGTGCGCACACACGTGCACGGTGGCTGGAAGACTTTTCCCCTAACAGCATCCATTGGGTCCGTCTGGGTGCCCCTTGGAGTCGCACCTTCATGGCTCTCAATGTAGAGCCCTGCCGAGCTGCCACCCCTTCAGTTCCTTCCCGTAGCCCTTGCTTAGCAAGTGCGGTCTATACTTATCTGTATATAGGTATCAGAGAAGCAGCCATGTTAGTCTGTATCCGCAAAAAGAACAGGATGCATCGGATGCATCGATGAAGTGGGCTGTAGCCCACGAAAGTGTATGCTCAAATAAAATAAAAATAAAAAATAAATTTGTTAGTCTCTAAGGTGCCACAAATACTCCTGTATCTGTTATTAGTAATTAGAGTTCTTAGTATAGAGTTTTTGGGGGTTCCCCCCCAATTCTGACTCCCCGGAGCCATGGTATGCCGTGGTCCCCAGGGTTTAAAAACTGTGTGGCCTGTGTGAAGCGCATGCCAAAGAGCGATCCACACTCCTCGTGTTTACAGTGCCTAGGGGAGGTTCACCAAAACGATCGCTGTAAGATCTGCCGTGAGTTCCACCCTAGAACTCTTAAAGAAAGGGAACAGCGGCTTAAGGTGATCCTCATGGAGGCAGCTCTACGCCCCCACTCCGATCCAGGTTCAGGGAACCAGACTTCTAACACGTCGTCCTCAGAAGAAAAAGAAGCTGGACAGTCATTCACCTCCAGCTAAATCCAGAGAAGTGAGACCCCAGGAGGGCCACAGCTCTGAATCCCCTACTGGTGCAGCATTGACTCCTGCCCAGGTAAGGCAATTGAGTCTGCGTCCCCCATGGTCACTGGTCCCTACACAGCAGCTACAGCTTCCTTCGATGCTGGAGGCTTTCCAAGCTGCTCAGGACCTCTTGCACCTTACAGCGCCCTTCTTGTCCCCGAGGAGGGAAGAACTTCCAGTGCTGGCGGACCCAACCCGCCCCCCAGTGCAGTCAAGAGGGAAGCCAGATATGATGTCCAGGCGCTCCCCCCTCCATGTCTCTCAGCACTGGCCCACTCGGACAGAGAGCCTACCCGCTCCCCAATCTCTCAATGCTCGAGTCACTGAGGCTCAGCGTCTCCATGGTCTTCAATCTCGGAGACCTCAGAGTCAGAATCCAGCTCTTATCAATCCAGGAGAAGGGAGCCAAAGATCACGGTCCAGGAGAGAGCCCGAGGCCTGGCCACCGCAGTGGCAGAATCCACCACAGTGGCCATTCTGGACTCCCTGGGTCTTTCACCAAGGCCAGGGAGGGACCCAAGGATGCTGTTCCACTGCATCTTTTGTTGCCTCAGCCACGTTCATCCCAGCATCGGCTACGCATCTTCCCTCAGTGCCTGCCCATACACCAACACTTCAGCACCAGCACCACCCTTGGCACTGACCTCAGCAACACCGATGCACCCAACTTCCACACCAGCACCGTTATCTATGTCGACTATAGCACAGGCAACAACAACCTCGGTGCCGATGCTGGCGACAGGCCCATCATCTTCCTCGGCTCAGACAGGGGGATTGGCACCGGCTCCATCGACAGTTCTTCCGAATGTACTGATGGCGGTGCCAACACTGAGTTTGGCATCTACAGCCCTGGCACCATCAAGCGCACCATCGGAACCGATGCTGCCCTGAGAGTTGAGGGACTCCTTGGCAGGGAGCATCCACTCCTTTTAAGTGATTCCTTGTCATCCTCACCTGATGAAGCATTGGTGGGTACAGCTGTAACCCTGGCGCTTGTGGAAAACAGGGTGCTGCAGCAATTGCTGTGTAGGACAGCTAAGGGTCTGGGCATTAGGGCCGAGGAGGTAGTCGAGGAGGCTGAGCCCACGGTGGACATCCTTGCCCCCTCAGGATCTTCCTATATTGCCCTACCACTTATTAAAACCATTGTGGACACCACCAAGACCC